CACTGTGGTCACCATTGTCATCATTGTCACCGTTCTCATCGTTGTCTTTGTTGTCACTGCTGTCACTGCTGTCACTGTTGTTGCTTTAGTCACTGTGTTCACCGTTTCATTGTTGTGACCGCTGTCATCATTGTCACCATTGTTACTGTTTTCACTGTTCTCACTGTTGCCACTGTGGTCACCGTTGTCACTGTTGTCACCGTTCTCACCGTTGTCACTGTCGTCACCGTTGTCATCGTTGTCGCAGTTCTTACTGTTGTCAACGTTGTCACCGTTGTAACCCTTGTCACAGTTGTCACTCTTTTTACCGTTGTCACCGTTGTCTCCATTGTCATTATTGTCATGGTTGTCACTCTTGTCACAGTTGTGACTGTTGTCATGCTTATCACCCTTCTCACCATTGTCACTGTTCTCATCCTTGTCACCGTTGTAACTCTTGTCACTGTTGTAACTGTTGTCACTATTGTCACTGTTGTCACCGTTGTCACTGTTGTCACAGTCGTCACCATTGTCACCGTGTGTCACTGATGTCACCATTATCACTGTTGTCACTCTTGTCACTCTTTTCACAGTTGTCACCGTTGTCACTGTTTTCACTATTGTCAGTGTTTTCACTGTTGTCACTGTTGTCATTGTTTTCACCGTTTTCACTGTTTTCAATGTTGTCAGTGTTATCACTGTGGTCACTGTTGTCATTGTTGTCACCGTGGTCACTGTTGTTACTGTTGTCACCGATTTCACCGCTCTCGCCATTGTCACTGTTGTCACCGTTGTCACTGTTTTCACTCTTGTCACCGTTGTCACCATTGTTACCGTTGTCACCACTGTCACTGTTGTCACTGCTGTCATTGTTGTCAGTGTTGTCGCTCTTGTCTCTGTGGTCACCGTTTTCATTGTTGTGACTGCTGTCACCGTTGTCACCATTGTCACTCTTTTCACTGTTGTCACCGTTGTCACTGTTGTCACAGTTGTCACCGTTGTCATCATTGTCACCGTTGTCACGGTTGTCTTTGTTGTCACTGCTGTCATTGTTGTCGATGTTGTCACTGTTATCACCATTTTCCTTGTTGTGACCGCTGTCCCCGTTTTCACCATTGTCACCGTTTGCCCTAATTTCACCGTTGTCACTGTTGTCACTGTTGTCACCGTTCTCACCGTTGTCACTGTTGTCACCGTTGTAATCGTTGTCGCTGTTCTTACTGTTGTCACTGTTGTCACCGTTGTAACCTTTGTCACAGTTGTCACTCTTTTCACCATTGTCACCGTTCTCACTGTTGTCACCGTTGTCACTGTTCTCATCCTTGTCACCGTTGTCACCGTTGTAACTCTCGTCACTGTTGTGACTGTTCTGACTGTTCTGACTGTTGTCACTGTTGTCACCATCGTCACCGTTGTCACCGTTGTCACTGTTCTCACCATTTTCACTGTTGTCACTGTTGTCACTGTTGTCACCGTTCTCATCGTTGTTACCGTTGTCACTGTTGTCACTGTTGTCACCGTGGTCACCGTTGTCGATCTTGTCACTGTTGTCACTGTTGTCATCGTTGTCACCAGTTTTACCGTCGTGACTGTTGTCACTGTTGTCACCATTGTCAGCGTAGTCACTTATGTCACCGTTATCAATGTTGTCACTGTTGTCACTTTTGTCACGCTTGTCACTGCTGTCAGTGTTTTCAATGTTGTCTCTGTTGTCACCTTTGTCACCATTTTCACTGTTTTAAAGGTTGTCACTGTGGTTAGTGTTGTTACCGTTGTCACTGTTGTCACTGTTTTTACCGTTGTCACTGTTGTCACAATTGTGACTGTTGTCATTGTTGTCACCGTTGTTACCATTGTCATCGTTTTTGCCATTGTCACTGTTGACACTGTTCTCACTGTTGTCACCGTTGACACCGTTGTCACTGTTGTCACCGTTGTCACTGTTGTCTCCATTGTCACTTTTGTCACTGTTGTCACTGTTGTGACCTTTATCACTGTTGCTACAGTTGTCGACGTTCTCACTGTTTTCACAGTTGTCACCGTTGTCA